TTAGAATAGTATTGTTTTAAATGTCAATAACACTTCAAACCTCACTGTTCGGACATTAAACGTGACGGGTCTAAGGGAATGTATGAGAGTGCGCTTAAAAAATGAAGACGAGTGTAAAAAAAAGAGAACAATTAATATAAGCCTTCGTAGAGTTTGCATTGTTTGTACAAGTTACCTTTATAATAAAATCTTTAAAAATTCAATTCTATTCTATTATGTATATAAACCATGGTCCTATAAGAGCCGAATAGTTTAAAAAAAGTACATTTCTAGTTTGTGGTTTAACCCAAAAATCATCGAGTTCAGTACATAAAGAAGAAGCTGAGTTCATTCAGAACAAGTGAGTTCGTTCCAAAGCTGTTCATAAACATCACGTGAGCTCGTTCCAATTCTTTTCTTTCCTATTCTAGGCTTAATTTGAATTAATAAAGGCGAGTTCAGCTAATTTAAGGAGAAATTGAGGTTGAAGATGCCTTAATTCCACAAAATAACTACTCTAGTACTATTGATAAAAATCAAATAGATGGACCTAACTGTTCAACAAATTGTAGCACGGTTAACTAAGCTCAAACCTCTTTATTATGAGTTCACTGGACTTCAAAATTCTATAGATATATTAGTTGATAGTAATATAAATAAAGAGAAAAAAGTACTTGAGGAGTTTAAAAATTTATATTTTGTAGTTGAAGGAAAGTTGAAATCGTTTTTAGTCATTTATGATAGTAGTTTATTATAAACGTTTCTGGGACAAAAGCTTCATCAGTACCTGCATTTTAGGTAAAATTACCGCTGGTAAATGTGCCTACATTTAACATTACACTAAATGGGTCAATTTTAAGGAATCTTTTCTAGGTTTGATTCATAATAATCCAAAAATAAGCACTTCTGAAAAATGTGTGCACCTGCGTGATTCACTAGAAGGACCTGCTCGCAAACCTTATGAACATATAAAAATTTAAGCTGATCTTTATGAAACCGCTTGGCAAATGCTTACCAATCGTTTTGATGAAGATGAAAAAATTATAAAATTTCATATTGGAGCAATATTGAATTATCTGCCGATTACTTTTCTTTACAAGGTCTATATGAAAATTATAATCAAAACTTGAGTTCCTCGGAAAGTTTTGTTGACTATACCGACAACTGGAACACTTTACTTTTCTATATTGTTTTCTCTAAATTAGATTCTAGTAATCGTAATTTGTGGAAGAGTATAAATGTAATGTACTCAAAAATCTGAAAGAATAAATTTTCAAAAATAACGACGACAATTCTGACAACGATGCATCGAAAGATTCCTTCAATATTTTTTTACATTTCGAGCAACTTTCGTGGCGATAATATTGAAATGTAAACAATCAATGTTTTGTAGCTATGTTGTGCATACCTGAAGTGAAGGTTATGAATCGGAACGGCGAATTGCAAAAAGCTAGAGCAGTCCTAGAAAATGGGTTTCAGAATTCATTTTTAACAAAGAAATTATGTCTTACCTTAAATCTGGATTTTATTGAATCTATCTCTTCTATTATAGGTGTAGGACAAATAAAAATTAAACATTTAGCAACTATATTTTAGAAATTTGTTGCAAAACTGGAATATACCGTGTTTAGTTCTTCCAGAAATTACCGGAAATCTACCGCCCTTTTCGTTTGATTTAAATGCAATAAACATTTCTGAAAATTTAAGATATGAACTTGCTGATCCTATTTTCAAAACGTCAAATCTCATAGACATTTTATTGGAAGCAAATATTTTTTGGAAATTATTAAACAATAGAGTAAATTACATGATGGAATAATTTTACACAGCACCAAATTAGGTTGGGAAATTTCGGGAAACGCACTCGCGTTCAGCAATAGAATTTCAAAAATTTATATTTTAATAGAACTATCTAAAACCAATATAATTATTAGTATTATCAGTCTCGTTAGCATAGAGTTAGAATAGAGTTCACATGCAAATGTGCGGGGTCAAATCAAATTTTATTTAATAATTTGGTAAGTCATAAATTATTTTTAAAATCGTAATTTTTTTAATAACTTCTATATAAATTGTATTAGTTTTAGTAGATTTTCATTAGTTGATCGTAGAAAAACTAAAGTAAATTATTCGTATCGCCCCCAGGTGATATGACCATCACATCCACTCTTGTTGCACAAACTACTATTGCAGCAATTCATTTAAAGTATATATTATATAGATTTTCGATTACGGTTTTGTCCGAAAAAGGACTTTCTTGATACATTCGAATAAAAATTGTTTACCATTTACAATAGTGCCCATTATAGGTAGTAGCACTATAAAATGATATTATAATATTTTGGTACAAAATTTTCTTACCGAACCACCTACGTGTTGGAAGAAAAAAACAGCATTTTTTTAAATGGCAAATTTATCAAAAAAATTCAAACTTCAAAAAAAAATTCAGAAATATTTCAATCTCTATGGAGATTATGAGTAATATTCTCATAGGAAATCATTGTTTGTTTCTTTAAAGTAGTTAAATATATCACTTTATATATCAAATTTATAAGATCTACGCAATGATAATATTCCTAAAAATGTATGTTTTCTTCAATCATTATTAAAATCAATTCAAACCAAAAAACTCTTTCAGAAGATAGAGAAACTCACTTTTTGAATATATGTAAATACATTCATGGAATTTATAACGGTATTATAGTATATTCGGTTTACCGTTTGAAATTCTGATGTATTGACAAAATTCATGAAAAAACAAATTAAGGTCTCCGAGCGTGGAAGATTGAAGCTGGATTGAATTATGTGACGAGAATTATTTTCCTAAAAGAGACCACACCGCAGCGAACCACTGCCTCTGTCAGTGCATACGAGCTAATACAACTCTTTTTTTTATAAGGCTCAAGAGAGTTTTTCATAACGAGTTTTCCCACCAGCAAATTTTCAACCGTGAAAAATAACAAAATAACAAAATAACATTCGAAATGGTCAAATATTAATAATTGTACTATGCATAAAAGTATATTATGATCTTTTTATTTCATTCTTTTAACTCAGAGGTTCAAGCGTCGGCTCCGATGAGTACGCTGCAGCAATACCAGAAATTGGGCAGAACATTTTATACAAAAGGGTTCTTTCTGAATATTTCGTACAGAACAAGTCGAACTAAATAGTTTGTACAGAATATTTCTTATAGAATAGCGCGTACAGAATAAATCAAACAGAATAGTTCGTACAGAAAAGTTCGTAAAGAATAGTTCGTACACAATGGGTAATACATGATAGTTCGTACACAATAGTTCAGAATAGTTTGTTCAGATTATTTCGATTGGATTAGATCATACAGAATCATATAGAATAGTTCGTACAGAATAATTCGTGTAGAATAGTTCGTACAGAATAGTTCGTACAGAATAGTTCGTACAGAATGGCCCGTTCATAATAATTCGTACAGAATAAATCGTAGAGAATAATTCGTACAGAATAGTTCAATAGTTCGTGCAGAAAGGTTCGTACAGAATAGTTCTCACAGAATAGTTCGTACAGAATAGTTCATACAGAATAGTTCGTAGAGAAAGAATAGTTCGTACAGAATAGTTCATACAGAATAGTTCATACAGAATAGTTCGTACAAATAGTTCGTACAGAATAGAATAGTTCGTACAGAATAGTTCGTACAGAATAATTCGTACAAAATAGTTCGTATAAAATAGTTCGTACAGAATAGTTCATACAGAATAGTTTGTACAGAATAGTTCGTACAGAATAGTTCGTACAGAATAGTTCGTACAGAATAGTTCATACAGAATAGTTCATACAGAATAGTTCGTATAGAATAGTTCGTACAGAATAGTTCGTACAGAATAGTTCGTACAGAATAGTTCGTACAGAATAGTTCGTACAGAATTATTTGTTTTTGACATGGGCTATTTAGTGAAGCTTAGCGTTTAAGTGAATTTGACATGAACCTACTTGCCTGCATTAATGTAATTTGCTATATTTTAGTTCAGAAGTTAATTTGATCAATAAATATTCGGAGCTTTCTATAGTTAGAAGTAGTAAAATATTGTCGACTGATCTTAGTGATTATGAAAAATAAAGAAATTTCTATCACATAATGAATACTTAAGTTGGAACCATATTCTTGATAAAAAGTTTTGAATGGTCCAAAACTTAAAATGCAACCAACCATCAGAAATTAATTTTTTTAAGCTGTATATGAGATTTGCCAAAAAATATAAATTTTACTCAAGAGTAAAGTATCTTTATGTTTTACAATACAGAAGAATGTTATGAAGTAAAGTTATTTTGAAATAAAATATGCAATTACAGCCATTTAGCATTAAAATTCAGGTTTGGTAATTAATTAATTTATAACTACAAATAATTTATAATGTAAAACGTAAATAATCACCTACACTGAATTTTCATGCTAAATGACTGTAATTGCATATTTGAGTATACCATTTAATTCAAAATAACTTTACTTTATAATGTTCTTCTGTATTGTAAAAAATAAAGGTAAATTCATATTTTTAGACGAACCTCGTATACAGCTTTAATAAATTGATATCTGATGGTTGCATTTTAAGTTTTGGACTATACAGAACTTTTTACCAAGAATACATTTTATCACAAAACGAATAATAAAAAAGTTTTCCATATGGTTCCAACTTAAGTAGACAAACTGTATATAAATTAAATGAATAATAAATATGTTTTAAATAATATGATATACCAATAGGTAGTTTGTTTTTAACCTATATATAATCCAATATTTTTAATGACTTTTCAATAAATAGTGGTATATGAATGTAAACTTTTTTAATTAGTATATCAATAACACCATTGAAATTATTGTAGCTTTCTAGATGGAAATCAATAAATACATTTCTGTATGCTTGGAGAATCTTGGAAAAAACATTTATTTTAAGAAATATTGATATTTATTCCATAAAATATGTCGTTTAATTTCTGACTTCGCGTCTGCGTATATAGGTTAGCCAAAAATTTTTATAAAGATGGCCATGATCAACAACGGCAGAATAATAATGTCAGGTATGTAATAACTATAACTATACATACACCCTTCTTAATGAAATCAAAATTGTCATTTATAAGAAAAATTCTCATTCCATTGTATATTTTGGAAGTTGTATTTAAATGAATGATGGAATGAACTTTCATGGTTCCTAAAACGTTTTACACATTCTAAATGCATTCGAATTAATGGACAACATAACTCTTCCTTGTGACATAGCGCGTTGAAAATCAGGCGAGCACAGTCATTTGACTTAGTCAAAGATTTAGATTGGTATTAAAGGGCAACGTTTTCAGCATTCCAAGATAATTAAGACGTACTGAAAATGGTATTAAGGCTTTACATTAATCTGATAATGTTTTGTCTTCTGAAGGTATATAATGCGAAGATAGTGTATTGCAAGACTTATGAACACTTAAATTAATTTTATGTACTTAATTTTTTCTCCCATTATTTATTTAAAATTAAAAATATTGCTCTTCCTTTTCGAAAACTATTTGATGTGATCATTTTGGTTCCATATTTCATACTACTCTGTTTTATTATTCATTATATCTTTAATAAATATATTGGGCACTGAAATTATGCGAACTTAGCACAATATATTTAATATTTACTTACATAAAAATATGATGTGTCCAACACATAACTTTCCTGTCTTACCTAAAGTTGTTACAAGCTTTTCCCAGTTATTCTCTACAACCTATCGTATCGCCCCTGTAAAAGTTTAAAGAAATAAATACATACATTTTCCACACACCTCTTATTTAAAACATTTTTTTTTTAATAATAATTTAAATAAAGGTTGTCCCAAATTGTTTCACCCAGGCTATAACTTCTAAACCATGCAAGATAATCGAACCGGACAAAAGTCATCCCTTATAATTGGCGGTGTACTTTGAATGAAATAAAAGCTGCAATTTTTGAGTAGGATGGGAGGAATAATGTCAGGACCTGGACCTTTCTTTATGTCAAGATTAGATAATTTCTCGTAAATGGTCGAAATAGGAATGTGGTAAGAGGAAACATTAAGTTTTGATTCGATATCGTTAAAATTTTGATTTTGATTTTGATTAGTGTAAACTGATGAAAAATGCTTGGCAAACAGATTTGATACTTCACTGCCACAAGAAGCGAAAGAGTCTTCAAGGTTCATATTATCAGGTATGGTGTTACTAGATCTTTTGGTACTTACAAAATTCCAAAAGGCTTTAACATTACTTTTAACAGAAGTTGCAACAGAATGTATGTAATTTGAATAGCATTCTCTATATATAATCATGCATTGCGATCTTAACTGACTAAATATTTCATAATTTTGGAGAGTCCTGTTTAGCTTGTAAATCTTATGTGCAACCTTTTTATCGTTAACCAAGCTTCTGAGTTGAAAAGAATACCAATGTGGGAATCTGTTTAAAACAAATTTCTTTAAGGGAACAAATAACTCAATTACCGAGTACAAAGCGTCATAAAAAGTAATAATCATTTCTTAAAGTTCCTTTCCTTGAAGAAGTGCATCCCAATCCATTGCCTCCAAACATTGGCGTAAACCCTCAAAATTGGCGTGGCGAAAATCATAATAATACTCTTCTTCAGGAGCATCACTTGAGTTTATCTTATATTGAATTGACGTTTCAAGAGGAGGATGATGAACATCAGGTGGGATCAATATATCAACGGCTACCATCACTGAAAGTTCCACCGGGGATAAAACAAGGTCGAGGATAACTCCTCTTTGGTTGAGCACTTTGTTGGACTGGAAAAGATTGTAAAAAGCACATATGTTCGAGACGATTTCGATAGCACTTTCTTCCGATAGTGATGAACTGGGATAAGCTGAAGCTGAAGAGCAGAAATCTTCAATATCCCATGTTGCTGTAGGTAGATTATAATCGCCAAAAATGTAAAACTGACTGACCGGATGTTGCTCATTTAGCATTAAAAGTTGATCAAAGTGAAGTTGGTATAGATTAGAATTAGATTTAGGAGGTATATATATGGCCCCTAAAATATGTTTGCAGTTTCTGTGGTCCAAGTGAATAAGCAGTTGCTCAATAGATGGGTTAGAGTTGATGATACTCGAGGAGAACGTTTTCCTAACAGCTATTAAAACACCTCCACCTCTGCTAAAGATGCTGGACTGGAGAAAACGATCATGTCTGTAGATATTAAAACCGTTAAGACCAAGTTCGGCGTCGTTGATATCAGCTGTGAGCCATGTTTCAGTGAAAATAATTACATCGTAGGAAGAATTTGTAACATTGAGATATAGTTGGGATAGTTTTGTTCGAAGGCCTCTAACGTTCTGGTAATAAACAGCCAGCTTGCCCGAATCTAGTTTTTTGTAATAATTACAGGAGTATTGTTGACATATTTAATTGCTGACGTCTCAATAATTCGCTTCTGACAGTGTTCAGAGTTTTCCTTTGGTTAGGAATTTGGTCCAGATGTATAAAAATCTTTCTATCGCGGCTGATATTATGTTTGTTTTTGATAATGGCGTGTACATCACGAGATGATTTTAACACAACTTTAAGGGGTCGATGTCCGTTTTTATTAGTCTTTCCAAAGTGAAAAACTTTGGTCTCTTAAATGTCAATAATATTAGCACCAGCAGCCTTTGTTATTAGAGTTTTGACCTGATTAGAGACATTGTTTGGCTCAGGAAGATTAAAGATTAGCAAGTTGTTGGCTCTCTTTTGACGTTCGTGAAGTTCGGTAATAATGTCCTCACTAATCATTGGGATGTCGTTCTTACTATCTTTGAGCTTCATCTTTCAATGAATTTAATTCAGATCTAAGGCTTTTAATTTGTCTCAGTAGTGCGGGTACACTTTTAAATGCCTGGCGACAATCTTCGCAAAAATAAACCAGAGTTCTTTTCTGTAAAACAATAGCACGCAATTCAGAAGCCCCCAGGCCGGTGCAACCCTCTGAGGGGTGGTTTGAGACATGACAACTGTCGCAAGCAATTAGCTTATCTCCGAGAACATCACCGCAGGTTACACAATTACTAGCCATTTAGAATGAATGAACAAGCTTTGAACAAATCAGTAAAATTTCGCTATAAGCTACCAGACTATTTGTACCTAAAAGTCGGTTATTGTTGTTGATCCAGTCGTTACAATTTTGCTGTAAGCTGCCAGACTATTAAATGAATAAAAGTCAATATTTGTTATCAGGAACAGGTTTTTGTGGAAAGTTTTTACTTATAATTGATATAAATGCAGAGAATTAATTAACTAATACTATTTGCACTTTCTATAGATGTTTGGCAATGGTAAATTTGTGATGGGCTTGAAGAAAAACTTACACGATTTTACCCAGTCAAATAACATCAATTTTAGACGTATTATAACCACTTTAAAACAGTAACTTTGAGGAGAACTTTTTAGAATTAATATTTCAATTGACGAAACGAATATTGGCTCAGAATTTGTGCATTATGAGCTGGTGCACCATCTAGCTGCCACCACATATCACGTCTTTGTCTAAGAGGAACACCTTCCAACAAATCAAGAACGATTAAAAAATCACGATATCCTATTCCCGTTAGAGTGTTTTCATAAAAATGAGGACCCATAATCCTACCATTGAACAAACCACACCATACGTTTATGCCCCAAATATTTTGAAACCTTGTTTTTCTTACCCAGTGGGGATTTGTTGGGGACAAGTAATTGGAATTATGACGATTTAATACACCATTATTATGGAAACGTAATTCGTTGCTCCATAATATTTTGTCTAAGAATGTGGCATCGGTCATTTAGCTTCACCTGCATTCTAGAGAGAAAGTCTAAGCATCTTTCAAGATCATCAGGGTGTAAACCTTGGACCAAGTGTATTTTATAAGGATGAAATTTATTGTCTTTTAATATTCTTTGGATGCTACTTTTGCTTATTCCAATTTCTAGTGCCAAATCTCTGATAGAAACATGTGGATTTACATGAACGTAAGCTAAAACGTGTATAATATTTTCTTCATTTCTGATCATTCTGTTGTGTCAGGAAAATGTCCTTGTCTAAGACTTCTTTCTAAATTGGAAAACATTCTAACTGAGGAAATTGTTCTATTCAAAAAACGTTCCTAGTATAATTGTCTAGCTTGTCTTGAATTCTTGGGACATTCGCCGTAAATAATTATCATATCGGTGTACTCGTTAGAAATAAACACAGTAGGCATTTTGAAATAATTTGTTAGGACTTGACAAACTCTAAATTATTGCAAACTTTATCAAGTAAAACCTGCTAATTTTATCGAGTATTTAAGCTGCACTTTTGTTTGACAAGAGACATATTGATATAGTATTGTTTATAATGCGCTAGAAAACTTCAATTTAACAGCAAGCAACTTGATGAAAATTAAAAAAAAAAAACGAATCTCACTTATTTATGGAGCGATTTCAAAATTTTAAAAACAGTTGTACAGAGAAAAGTAGCGACTATAAAAATAAGCAGAAAAAAAATTAGGGTGTCGTTATTAATTTTTGAGGGGGTTGTTCTAGGGGGTAGTTTTTAAGGGTGGGTCATCAAAATTTTTATTTGTTTCAAAGTACACCGCCAATTATAATAGATGATTTTTGTCCGGTTCGATTATCTTGCATGGTTTAGAAGTTATAGCATGGGTAAAACAATTTGAGACACCCTGTATAGTGTGTGTGCCATAAAGGTGGATCCATATAGAAATTTTTGTTTAATATTACGATTGAAAAAAAATGTCGTAGAGCAATCACCTCTGCTTATTTAAAAACCTACAATAGCTGATATCAAAGTTGGCTACTGACAATAGTTTTCTGTCAAATTCGAATTTAGAAAAAAAATTTAAACAATATTTCAAAAAAATGCCGAATTTAACAGATAACTAATGCAGTACCTAGCCAACTTTACTATGTGCTATTTTAAGTTCACAAAAAAGCGGAGGCGAGTTCCTTACGACGCATTTTTCTAATCGTAATATTTAAGAAAACCATATGCATCCAACTTTATGAAACACACTGTATAACATGATTTTGAT